TCTCTACTGTTCTTTCCCACAAGCACAGGGTATGATACACTACTCCAAGGACCTACAAGCCTTGGGTCAGACCATAAATGCTCTTATCTGTTTCAAATTTTATTCCAACTCTTTACAATCTTGACAGTTACCATGTCCACCTGGAGATTGCTACATTCAGTTCATCTATGTTACAGGTTTCTGGGAGAAAGTAATAGAGAGGGTGGCTCACCTATTCCTGCATGCATCATTAGAAGTGACAATAACAGAGACAAGATTGAGTCCACAATTCCTGTGTTTCTTGCTACTCAATGACTGTAATAGGCTAACTTAAAATTTATTTTTAATTGTTTTGTTAAATTTCAACTGAGGAATTAAGCAAATTAACATTATCTACATAGAAAACTACTGCTAAGATCATCATCTTTCCCCCATGCAATACAATACTGATCTACAACTACCCAATATCATTCAATGAAATTATTGTGCTACAATAGTATCTTTCATTTTATGTTGTTGTCTTTCTATTGAAATGCCAGCTTGGAGTTCAAGTTTTTCAGCATTTTTCTGAGGTTTTTTCTAAGATATTGGATCCCAGTAATGTATTAACAGCAAAGACAGTTTTGTAAGCTTCAGTCACAGTAAACAGAGGATATCAGTAGTGATTCTGTTTTTATACATATTATCTCATGACCGTATTCAGGCACTGTCATCACAGTCAGTGGTCTTTCCGAAAGATCACTGAGAGCAGTGTATGCTTCAACATGCATTACACCGTTGGTATTGTTAAGTAATAAATCATGACAATGTGACAATATTAAAAGAAGAGAAACATGGTTGTGTTAAGTTGTCTTTGTACCTGATAAGCAGCATATAAATCTGTTTTAGAGTCACATAAACACAGTAAAATTTATAAACTCCCTTATTTATGTGTGGTCTACACTAGGCTGCTATACACTGACATACTATGGGATTTGTCAGTTTAAAAACATGGATACATAAGTATGTATTCATTCATACACACACACACACAACACACACACACACACACACACACACACACACACACACACTGTGATGGCCTGCCCTCAAGGAAATGGACATTATACTATAAAATTGCATGTGGTATCTGTTAAATGGCAGATGAGCCAGCTACACATGAGAATCCAGATAGCAGGAGGCTTGTGTTTACTCATGTACAGGAGCACTGAGAGCAAACCATACCTGTTCACGCCTTGCTCACTAAATTCCTACCTTGTCTGTATTGCTATGTTTTCTTTTTCCAGGAATGATCTCTACTATAGTCTATCCTGAAATTCATTCCACAGCCAAGAATGACCTTGAACATATGTTACTCCTTCTTCTACATCTCAAGGACAAGGATTAATAGGATTTACTCATCCTGGGTACATTTTAAGCAGAACTAGGAATCAAATTCAAGGTCTTAGACATGCTAAGCATGTACTGAGGCAACTGGGCCAGAAGCTCCAGCCCATTTTAGAATACTTGCTTCCCTTAATCAAACTACAGTTCAACCAAGTACTGAACATGAAGCTGCACTATGCACAAAATACTTTTGAAATAAGTCATATGTGGTTCATTGCTGAATATATGTACCTGAGTGGTCACACTGAAAATATGCAGACCAATCACCACTAAGAAGAAACTCCTGGAGCATAGAGAGTGCACCTCACATTTAAAGGCATTGTGTTACTGGGTGTGGTAGTGAACCCCCTTTTTTAACAGTACTCTGAAGGCAGAGGCAGGTGGAACTGTGTAAGTTTCAGGTCAGAAAGGTATACATGTAGATAGTTCTGGGAGAGACATGCAGAGACCCTGTCTCAAAAAAGTAGCAAAAAACAAAACCAAAATCCCATATTGTCTGAAAAGTCAGATAGTACAGATCAACATCTAGGTAGAGACTGGACTTCTTAGTGGACACAGTGTCTAAATTGTGTTGCTTTTTGTGTCTGTATCAATGTTGTTAAACACCTTAAAGCTTTTCAGTTTTTACTGGGAGAAACTAGTCAAATCTGGCACAAATCCAATTCACAAACATCCATCCAATCTCAATATAGTAGTAGTTAGCACAGAATCTGGGATTTGTACCACACCATGGACTGTTTTCTTTCATACTTGCTAATATCTGCAGGCAGGTGAATTTCACTGCCCAGGCCTTCTGTGGTAGTTATGGCAATGTTTGGGAATGCTTGTTGCTTTGACTTATTGCAGTCAGATGTTGGAAATTTTGATGCTCTTCCATGATTATTGTGCCCTTGGTGGTGTTAATGCAGTTGTTGTACTGTGTATATAAAGATCCTCATTACTTATTCTGAGCCTTAGTTTATTCATTTCTTTTGGAAATCACACATCAACCTACAACATATGGCTGTGGTGAGCTTTAAATACACGGTTATAAGTAACTTCTGAATACTAAAATTTACAATTTTAATAAACCAGTTGACATTCACCCCATAAGTTTCATTTTCAGGTAGAAGAAGGAGAAGCAGGAAGAGAAGGAAGAGGAAGAAAGAAGAAGAAGAAGGAGGAGGAGAAGTAGGAGGAGGAGGAAGAAGATGAAGAAAAAGAAGAGGAAGAGGGAGAGGAGGAGGAAGAGGAGGAGGAAGAAGAAGAGGAAGAAGAGGAAGAAGAGGAAGAAGAGGAAGAAGAGGAAGAGGAAGAAGAGATCTCAGAACAAGGACAGAGCCTGGACTGGGTCTCCCATGATTGACTTATGGTCGGGTGACACAGGGGCTCGAATCCTGATTTTTTTTCATAGCAGTTTCCCTGGAAATGGGGCTAGGTGACATGGATATTTGGTTAGACACAGCCTGGTACACAAAACCCTAAACTAAAGAGGTCCCAGCTAGATGCAGCAACTGTAGACACATGATTATGATTCCTTACTTGAGGCATCACTTTGTTTAATCAAACTTTGTAAATCAAACTCCCAACTGTCAACTGATACATGTATTTTTGCTTACTGTGATAAACAACCAGTATTCACACACTTCACATCTAAAACATGTCTTCAGTGACTCCAGAATACATACCATGTTTGTGTTTTTCAGGCTCCATCTGTAATATAAGGAAAGAAAACACTTTGAGGCTCAGATTATGGTGCTTTCTGTTTGCACAACACTATGTTTCACCTTTTGGCCAGAGGATTGTCAAGGCCTTAGGTGGAAGATTCTGTGAGATAATGACACAGGCTATCTCAGGATGTCTACTTTGTGACACAAAACACAAATGTTTTCCACTTTTTTTCTGACTAGAGACCACATCTGGCCACCCTGTGTGTTTGCTCTCCACTGATGGTCACACGTGACAGAGCAACTTTTTATCTGTTTACTATGATATTAGTCCCTTTTATGAAGCACCCCAATAATATGCATGCATCCTCATATCTTAAAGTTCTCAGCACCTGGACACCCCCATACTGGGACATACGATGCTTCCTCACATAGATCTTAGGGGAACATAATCAATTTCCACCTAAGCCATAGACTCTAGGAACCATAAAAGGAGGCAACTCTTATATAAAAATTCAAGTCTACAGGGATGATAAGCCTATAAACTTCTGAGTGACATTTACATGCTTTTATCTAAGGCAGAACATTATTCTCCCAAAGACAACTCACCCTGACCGAAACTAGCTACCTGATATAACCAAGTGTGAAAGTTCTAGCCAATCACTAATGTGGTATAATTCTGTTCCGCCAACTTCCTAAATATACTGCTTGACATTCATGATAACCTAATCGATTTTATTTTTCAAGTGTGATAGACACTAAACATAGCAAATAATAACTAAAGTAACTTTTCTCTCAGACAGAAAGGAAAGAATTTTTTTTACCTTCACCAAGGATCCTGGGTGTTCCTGTTTATTAGTTGGGGTTTGTGTGACATGTGAATATTCTGTTGGTAGAACTAGAGGGACAGAAAGTAACAGTCAGCTCATGGTACCATTTATTCATCACCCAAGCATTTTACTTGACATGGAGAAAAGTGTATGCAAACAGTACATGTCGTTAGACTTAGTTAGGTCACTACTGGACTGTTTTTCCTGGTGGAAAATATAGGCAAAGATTAAAATAAATATATAAAAATTTACTTTTCTGCTTTCTAGAGAATAGGAAAAAAAAGCAATGTGTAACTACTGAATGCACACCTCAAAAACTTCTATACATTCATTCAGTTTGGGAGGGAACACATCAAAGGACATTTTGTGTCCAGTTTTATCCTTCTATTGTGTGGGTTCTAGGGTTAGAATCAGAACATCAGGTCTGGTGACAAGTGCCATCATTTACTGAGCCATCTCACTCTACCCATTAAAATACATATTGCAATTAAAAAACATATTACCACCAATTATTGAGATCATTTCAAAACCCAGAAAAACTGACAATCCCTTCAGCATATCTAACAAGCATATTTCAACTTCCATCAATTGATATATTCTGATTCTGCATTCATCATAAAGAACATATAATTTTAGCTTTGATAACATATATATTTTTCTGGGGAAGTGAATTTAGCATGAGGCATATGTGTAACTCTCTTGATCCATTAATCCTTTGACATACAATAATTTTTACAAGGGTGGAAAACAGTAATAAGCATGCTGTGTCTTGTTTCTCCTTCTAGTCTTTCATTTTTTATTCTATGAACTTTTGGATTCATGTGCTTGTGGCAAACAATTCAAAAGCAGCTGCCATGGGGAAGAACAAGAGTCTGGATTCTGCTGACCATTCAAGCCCTTTAACACAGCTCTACATAAGAGTTGCTTCAAGGGTGATGCATATTCTTGAAACTGGGTAGATATTCTGGGTACTTATAATTCACTCTTTCAGGGAGTATAGCTCACAAGGTCTCTGCACTTCTAAGGGCCACATGTGTATTGCCATTAGACATCAAAGATCTCCCTTGAAGTGATGTGTCAGGTTTTGTAGACTCCCCATGAGGGGTCTTGCACTTTCTGGGGAGTAGATAGGGGAGATGTGGTGGAAGGAGTGGTGGTGCAGGAAGAAGAGGGAGTGGGAACAGGGATGAGTGTGTGGAATGAGAAAAGATTGTATTAAAATACATACATACATAAACACCAAAAAAGTCTCCCCATTGAAACTGGTCTTAGGCCAGGTATGAAGTTGAGTATCCCAACCCTAAGTATCTGTGAACTGATGAGAAGTACTAGTACTTCCTTATAATGACTGGGATGAAATGTGACACTGATGTAACAAAGTGACCATGGACACTGTCATAAAGTAGACCATGCCTAGGACTTCTACACTCTTGCAGATATCCTGACATGTACACAAACAATAGAACTTCTTGTTTGGTGAATAAAGTAACATTTTAGACGCTCGGGATAGTGGCAAATATGTCTGGGTTCACATTTTGACTCTTTCAACAATCAGTATGCTCTCTCTCTCTCTCTCTCTCTCTCTCTCTCTCTCTCTCTCTCTCTCTGTCTCTCTGTATGTGTGTGTGTGTGTGTATGTGTGTGTGTTTTATTCCATCCTGGGAATACACATAGTCAATAAAGAAGAACATGTGTCTGTGCTGTTGCTGAGTGATTCACTGAATGGAACCTAAGCAGTGTCAACATTCAGGAAGGTATAATTTGTAAAATGTCCTGCTATCCAAAACTCCAAAATTTAAATTCCCAGGCCACTGTACTTCTACTACATATGACTGATAATTCTATGTGTTGATAATTTGTTTGAGTTTTAAAAAATAAAGCTTGCCTTAAGATCAGAGTGCAGAGCTAAGCTACTAGAGGCTAAGCAGTGGTGGCACAAACCTTTAATCCCAGGACTTGGGAGAGAGAGGCAGACAGATCTCTGTTAGTTCAAGGCCACCCTGGCCTACATGAAATTGATCTATGTCTAAAAAGAGAAACAGAACTCACACAAAAGTGATCCCAGTACTTGAGATCACACACCTTTAATCCCAGCACTAGGTAGGTGGAGACAGGAGTGATATGGCTGGGCAGAGAGAGGAATATAAAGCAGGAGGAAACAGGTACTCAGGGCAGTCTAAGAAGCAGTCAGCCTGAGAAAACAGTCTGAGGCAGTCAGTCTGAGGATACAGTCTGAGGACAGGATTGCCCCTTTGGTATGAGCATAGAGAAAGAAATCTAATGGTTGTTTGCTTAGCTTCTCTGATCCTTCAGCTTTTGCCCTAATATCTGATTTCAGGTTTTTATTATTAAGATCAATTAGAATTCATAGTCCTTAAAACCCACAAATTTACCAATATCTATTGCAAAGAAGTATAGATTTAAAAATGATGCCTATATTGTCCTAAGTATACAATCAATGTCCATGCCTAAAATTAGCCAGTATTGCTCTCCAGAGTATTCTAACTCTTTTACCATAGACAGTGTACACCTGTTTAATGAAGCAAATCCTAGATGATGAATTAACATGACATATTAAAATTTTTAGTATTATAAGACCATTGAAAACCTTTAAGAAAACCTATAACCTTAATTATTAGCTCTTCACAAATATGAGCACCTCTATATTTAGGTTTTGATCGGTTCATGAAGACAGATATAGCTCAATTTTGTGAAAGAGCTCTGAAAGTATGTCAATAACTAAACCATGTAACACATGAAAACAGCAATAAGAGTTAACACATCTTTGCAGAGCTGTAGTTCAACATGCACAGAGCACAATTACCTTTGCAAGCAATTCTTTTTGTTTGCTATATATGTACTCTTTATACTCATTGATGACTGTAAATCAACATTAACTCTCTAGTTAGTTTATCAGTCTCTATAATTCATCTGAGGCTCTACTTCTTTTGTTGAGTGATCATTCAGTCAAGACCAAACAATCACATTACAAGTGTGAAGTTTACCATAATATCTCTACTACTGTGGAGTCACTCCAGTTTTCTGAAATTAATAATTTCAATAAAGAGAACCTTACTTATTGCACAGTATATTTATGAAAGAGTATAGCAGTATTTGTATATAGGTAAATCTCTTAAGAACAAGCTTAAGGGCGGGAATATGAATTTGTTGTGTGTATATATATATAATATACACACACATATAACATATTAAACTCTAAAGTCAAATATTTCATAGAAAATATAATATACACAATATATAATAAAATGTAATTCTAACAATGCAGATGTTATATATACTTAAGAAAGATACTTTGAGAAATATTAACCAGTTTAAATGGAGAAGTACTCCAAGGCTAGTAATGTCATACCTTTGTCATTACAGCAGTTCCCCATTATACTCTAAACCCAACACAGTTATCTTCTGTGGGAGCACATTCCACTCCTTCAGTCAACAGCCTTTAAGATACCACACCTGACTGGGCTGGTATCTTACAGGCTACCACTGAAGGAGCAGAATGTGCTCCCACATCGATTATCCACCTCAATTTTTTTCAATCTCAATTTTTATGTGTGTACGACCAAACTCCCAAAGTACACTGGCACTCAGAACTGAGGCATGTACAAGTCAGCAGCAGGTCATAGAACTTGCAAAGTGAGGTCATATTCTGTCTTATGACATCCAACAGCTGCATCCAGGCAATCTGCTCATACATGTCCAAGACTACAGTGTGGGTTATTATAAATGCCAATGTACTGTTCTTAAAAATGATCAAGTACAAAGTAAATATTTCCCTTCTCCCACACACAAAGCCTATCCTCAAGGAAATGGACACAGTACAGAATTGCTCTGTGGTTTCTGTTAAATGGCAGAAGAGTCGGCTATATATGAGTGAATTCAGGTAGCAAGAGGTTTCTGTTGGTTATTCATGTAACCAACAGTAGATAATGTGTTTATTTTTCCTGTTTACCTTCACTGTTTATGTAAGAAACTATAGGAAGACTCTAGCTCAGCAGAAATATGTGGTCTTCCTCCAATACTTTCAACCAGTTTGGTGCCTCTGCGTGGGCGCTTCTCTGATTAGAGGACCTCTAAAGGCATATTTTCCAGAAATGCTCAGATTCAAAGTCACTCAAAGCAAAGTTGTCACATGATGGTTAGGATGACTAGAAACTTCCCCACAAGTAGCCAAGCCTAGATATTCCCTTATCTTGAATTGGCAAGAGCAGCAGCCAGGTGTAATGGTAATATAATCAACAGTGCCTGAATACATCACTTTTGAGGTGACATTCTCATTGACTATCTGTACAACTTTTATTTGTTCTAGCTAGATAGGGGTAATGACTACAGGATCATCAAAAGTGCACCATTTAACTGTTCATGCCGTTCTCACCAAAGTCCTAGCTTCTCTATATTGTTACATTTTTTCCTCAGAAAAGATCTCTATGTTTTTAACTCTTGTTTTTTGCTGGCCTGTCACCCAGCTTCCTAATATATACATGGAGACTCATTATTATTATTGCCCAGCCTTAGCATGGCTAGTATCTACCCAGCTCTTCTTAACTTAAATTATCCCATCTATCTTTTGCCTCTGGGCTTTTATCTTTCTCTATTTTATATACCTTTATTTCCTTCTTACTCTGTGGCTTGCTATGAAGTTGGGTGACTGATCCTTGGAGTCCTCCTCTCCTCCTTTTCTCGCTCCTTGATCTTTATTCCAAGACTTCTCCAATTTATTTTCTCTGCCTGACAGCCCCAACTATCCTTTCTTCTGCCTAATTATTGGCCATTCAGCTCTTTATTAGACCAATTGGGTGTTTTAGGCAGGCAAAGTAACACAGCTTTACAGAGTTAAACAAACACAACATAAAAGAATGCAACACATCTTGTATCATTAAATATCCCACAGCACAAATAAATGTAACAAATCTCAAAGTCAATCAGGTCTTTGGCATTTTTTTTCAAACTGAAGAGACAACCTCACTGGCTAGGGTGGGTCAACACTTTTGCATCTTCCTACCAACCCAAGTCCAAGTACCTTCTCTCTCTCTCTCTCTCTCTCTCTCTC